GCTGGTGAGGTGCATTTCCCTACCACTCAGAAAACCCAGTTTGAGATTCGTGCCCTGCAGGAAACTCTCACACGGATTTGTTTGTTCAAACTCTGTGCCGGGTACTGCTCTGTGCCCTGGAGAGAAGCGTAGCAAAGAAGAGAAATGGATGCCATCCTAAATGTCCACCAACAAGCAGTGTGCACATCCACTGAGGTCTGTCCAGACAACGGAATATGACGGACATTTTTCGAGCAAGAGAGAATGGACACGAGCTGCAGAATGACTCGTCGATGTAAGACCTCCACCCCGTCTCTCTCAGCTCCCTGCTTCATGTTCTCTGTTGCCCTCGGAATTCCCCGAGATTATTTCTCTCCTGTCTCTCTGCTCGCCACTTTTAGCTGGCATTATTTTGGATTCGGGGAACGCAATTCATGTTGGTGAGGTGGGCTGCCTGTGTGTGTGTGATTCTCCTGGGAACACACAGCAGTGAGGAGAAAACACTCTTGGTTCAGAGACGCGGAGAGGGGGTGCCGAGCCCTTTACTTTTGCAGCAGACTTTTAGTAAGCACCTGCTTTGGGATAGCCAGACATTTTGATCCCAGCACAGTCTGACTGCAGAGCTGGAAATTTCCAGTACTCCTGAGGCTCTCGCTCTCTGGCCCCCTCCCCTCTCCTTCCAGGAGCCCACTGCGGTTTCCATGGCAACGGCCTGAGCCCGCCTCTGCGGCTCAGTCAGGTGACAGCTCTTGAGAGAAAACAGATGACGAGGTGCCCCCTGACAGAGACCCAGCCTGGGTGGGGGCGGGGGGGGTGGTCTCACACCTGCAGCCCCTCCCCACTGCTGGTCGGGCCCATCCTTTGTGCACATTCATGCACATCATTAGATGGGGGTCAGTGAGTAGGAACACAAAGCAGGCTCTTTGGGTCCCAGCAGGCCTTATAAGAACTCACAAACCCCCCACAAGAAGCGGGGATGTTGGTCTTAGCCTTTCAACACTCACTGACTCATTCTACATATTGATTAAGCCCCACTCTTTTCATGAAGCCAGGGATGCGATGGGGAGAAAAACAAGCAGTCTCCACCCTGAGACCCTAATATCCGAGACATCTGTTCCTCTGAAACAGGCATTTAATCATCAGACAAATAGGTACCGAGGCCCCCCGGCCACGTACCAGGTGACAGAGCAGGGGGTCAGACGCGGCAGAAACCAGACAGTGGAAAGCCCCTGCTTCTGGGGCTTCTCTTCTAGTGGGGTCGCGGACAGTGGACAGGAGAACCCAGAACACAGCACCGTGATTAGAGCAGTGAAGAAAAAAAGCTTGGGCAGAGGCTGGGGAGAGGGCCCAGGAGAGGATGGGCATTGAGCAGATGTGTAAGGGAAGGGAGTGAACAGGGATGAAGGAAGAGGGGCCCAGGCTGTCTGGGGGCTTGTTGGGACATCCTAGGAAGGAAGCAGCCCCCCAGCAGCGTGAGATAACAGAACGTAAGAGGTGAAGTCAGCGATGGAGGAAGGTCAGGTCACGATGGAAGGCACTTTGGATTGTATTAATTAGCCCCTGTAAGTATTAATCTAGAGAGTGTTATTTGTATTAAGTGTGTCCATCATTCAGTGACACAAGGATGGAGGCGTCCACGTGGCTCAGAGTCCGTGGGAGGGAGAGGAATCATGCTGACAAACACACGGAGGTGACATCAGAAGGACGAGTGGTTTACTTGGTGACCACCCTGGTGCCAGGTCCCGCCTCCGGGAAAGGGACGCGGAGAGAGGCATTTCGGCATTGGTTTGGGGTTTGGCGTCTGGGGGGGTGCCTCGTGGGCAGGGCTGTGAATACCAGGGTTGGGAAGGGGTCAAAGGCGGCAATGGTGATGGTGATGTTAGTCACAAGGACACATTTCGCCCGAGCGACTGATTCCCCTGGGCTGTGTGAGCTCCAGGTGCTGTGTGCCTTCCATTCACCCTCACGGCACTAAAAGGCAGTTGCTACCGTTCCCCGTTTTACAGATGAGGTCCCTGAGGCAGAGAGGATGAGGAAGGCCTCTCCGCGTTGCGGTTAAATGTGGCGGCACAGGTTCCAATCCATCATGCCATCTCTGTCATCTCTTCGAGCCTCAGTTTCCCTGTCTGGTTAAGAGAACCCTGTTAGGCCCTGGACAGCACTTTGGGTTTTATTAATTAGCCATTGTAAGTATAAATATACATAATATTGTTTATCAGCTCTGACAGGGCTTATAAGAAAAATGGGGCCAAAAGAACACCTTGACTCACAGATGTATCTGAGATTAAATTTCACATGCAAGTTTAGGTTTGCATACAGTAGGTGCTCAATAAACACGAGTGACACATTTTCAATAGGAGTAGGAGGACTTTCCTTTCCTACCTAAAGATTGGAAAATGAGTAGGCAGGCCATGGGGCTTCGGTGTAGAGTTGTGCAGACTGTTCACTGCACAAGGGTGATAATCAAGGCTGGTAAAAGGGTTGAAATCCAGACCATCCTGTCCCACCAAGCTGGGCATGGAGCTGTGAGGCTGCACCCCCCCAGGGAAGGGGCATCCTTTGCTACTTCAGGTAAGGTCTGGGCAAGCCGTGGTCCTGTCGCCTCCCTGCACCGGGCCTTTTGGACACCAGATCAAGGAGACGCTGGTGTTAACAGCCAGCATTCTTGGCAGCGACAGAAGCCAGCATGACACCAGCCGTTGAGAGAGGCACAGGGGGATGGCAGGTAGATCTTTGGAGAGGCAGGACAGCTTTAGATCCCTGTGGAGGTTCTGGAGGCAGACTCGTAGAGGCCGGCCGCAGACTGGTCTGGGGAGGACACAGTCACTGCTGCCCCCAGACTCGAGGGTCCCCTGCGGCCCCTGGGAATGAACGTTCACTGTCCAGGAGGCGTTCTCTGCCATCCCACTAACCTGCGCGCCTCGATGACAAATAAGGGGAGTCCTTACTCGGAGGAGGTGGAGGAAGAGATTAAACAGGGATTCTTTTTTGATCTGTTTCTGTATGTGAATTTACAAACACATCCACAAATCATACAGGCTTCTCACTTAGTACATCCCGAGCATTTTACACATACAACTCTGTTATTGTAATCACTCCCATCGATTTTTACTTTAATTCAATGTAACACAGGATTTTAGAAGTGGGCTCGAAATGCTTGATGCCTACGAAGTCCCAGGGAAGTCACCCGGCACTGGAACTAAAGCCAGGAGAAAATCAGAGTCAAGATTTTCACACCAGAAAAGTGGAGAGAAACTCATCTGCAGCTGGCTCCAGGGAAGGCATCTACAGAACAGACGACTAGTCTTAAATATGTTTGGGAATGAATGTCTCCAGAACACTGGCTATGTTTTACTGTTTCCGAGAAAGCCTTTCCCTTCCTGAGTTAGAAGGCAATACATAGAGAGCTTGGACTCCAGTCTGGCACTCAGTTCATTAATCAGGGAAAATTCTGAGGTCGGTTGATTTATCTGGCACGCAGACTGAATGTTGACATTCTTCGAGCCTCGTCCAGAGGGCCATGAAACTCCGGACGAACTCCTCTCCCATGTGAACCATCTTTTCAGTTTAATTCTGGCTCAGACTCCGCAGTGAGCGGCTGGTGCCAGCACCTCGTTGAGGGACACAGTTTCTCTTGGGCCTTTCCTCTGCTCAGTATGAGATTCGACGTGTCAGCGTTCTTACCATCACAGAGAGGGAAGGATGCACGAACGAGTCCCAAAAGCACACAAACACGAGCACAAAGACACATAAAGCTGACCACATAAAACCAGTGAGATGTCACCTCGCCCACCAGGATGGTTACTATTAAAAACAAACAAACAAAACCCAGCAGGTATCAAGTATCGGGGAGGATGTGGAGAAGCAGGAACCCTCGTGCACCATTGGTGGGCGTGCAAGCTGGTGCAGCCACTCTGGAAAACAGTATGGCAGTTCCTCAAAAAATTACAGATGGAGCTACCCTACTACCCAGCAATTGCTCTTCTGGGTACACACCCAAAAGAACTGAAAGCAGGGTCTTAAAGAGGTATTTGTACACCCGTGTTCAGAGAGGCATTATTCACAGGAGCTGAAACGTGGAAGCAACCCAAGTGTCCATCAGTGAATGAATAGATGGACAAAATGCGGTCTGTCCGCACAAGAGAATACTATTCAGCTTAAAAAGAAAGGAGGAGGGCGCCTGGGTGGCTCAGATGGTTAAGCATCTGCCTTCGGCTCAGGTCGTGGTCCCGGGGTCCTGGGATCGAGCCCTGCATTGGGCTCCCTGCTCCTTGGGAGCCTGCTTCTGCCTCTGCCTCTCTCTCTCTTTCTCTGTGTCTCTCATGAATAAATAAACAAAATCTTAAAAAAAAAAAAAAAAAAGAAAAGAAAGGAGGGATGCCTGGGTGGCTCAGTCAGTTAGGCGTCCGAGTCTTGATTTCGGCTCAGGTCATGATCTCAGGGTCCTGGGATCAAGCCCCGCATTGGGCTCTGTGCTCAGCATGGAGTCTGCTTGAGATTCTCTCTCTCTCTCCCTCTGCCCCTCCCCACTCAAAATAAATAAATCTTAAAAAAAAAAAAAAAGGAAGGAAATCCTAACGTGCATGGACCTTGAGGACGTTTTGCCAAGCGGCTTAAGCTAGTCACAAAAAGACAGTGTTATGGTTCCATTTATATGAGGTACTTAGAATAGAAAGTAGACGGTGGCGCCACGGGTTGGGGGAGGGGGAAGGGGAGTTGTCATTTCGTGAGGACGGAGTCTCAGTTTCACAAGATGGAAAGTCCTGGAGACGGATGGTGGGGACGGTTGTGGAACAATGTGAATGAACCTAAACTGGACCATATCCTTAAAAATGGTTAAGATGGTACGTTTTATGTTGTTATATGTATTTTAGCACAATTTTTAAAAAGAGTGTATATGTATATGTATCAGGGAAAGCCACAAGTTAAGAGAGATTGAAAACGCAACTGGCTGACGTCATTGCAGCCGACGTGGTAGTCAAAGGAATGTATGTCACTTACGTGTATGAATTGTGTTTCAGGCCAGTAAGAGACTGTAAAACAGGACGAAGGATCTGAAAAGGTGTTCACAGAGCAGAACTCCCAGCGTGCAAGCAAAAGTCACAGAGGTCTCGTCCCACCTCTGACCCACAACCCGGATGCCGAGCCAAACCGAGACGCGGTTTCCACCACATCAGGTAGGCAAGGATGACAACACGCCGTCAACGGGGGGCTGGGGAAGCAGGCCCCTTCCTAGTGCGGGCGGTGGGCACACGTGGGCTACGGCCTCTCTGTCCGGTATTTTTGGCAAAGTTTAAAATACGTTTGCCCAACGACCCAGCCGTTCTGCTTCCAGAACTCACAAGCACGTGAATGCCCACCTTGTGGTCATGGTAGCGGCCGTGATTAATTAAAACCAGTGAGGTAGGGGCTTGTAGTGAAAACGAGAAAGTGCTTTCCTACAAAGCAACTTGCGTTTTTGAAGAGTACTTAACGCCATGGGAGTTGGGGTCCCCGAGACGACCCGCGGTTTCCATGATTCACTGGAAGGACCTTGGGACGTGGCACGAACTTGTCCTCACACCTGGGTCCGCAGCACCCACACGTTTTCGTCATGCGCGCGTGCCTGGCATCATTTCCTTCCTGCGTTTAGTGAAAGCACTTGGTTATTTATTTGGGTTTCGCTCACCAAAATTCACTTAGCAGGGAGGAATAGGCAAGTGCAGTTCTCCCTAGAATCAAATACAGACCACTTCTATTTTTCCCTCGCAAGGAGGACGCGTTCCTCACGTCACAGATAGAACAGACAGTGTGTGTGTTGGCGGGGGGGGGGGGGGGGGCGGCAAACGAATTTTGTTCTTTCCGCAAACTCCTGTCGTGTGGCATGTATGCGAGGACGTCCTCAAACTCACGTTTGCCTCTGGAGCCTGGATGTTTCGGCGCCCTGAGCCTCTCTCTCTGTGTGTCTCCACGATTCTGCATCCCCCTCCCCTCCCCTCTCCCCTCACCCTCAGCTGCGGTTCCCATGGCAACAGGCAAGAGTGGCCTTTGTCCTGCAAAGGTCTTCAGGGAGAACAGCAAACAGCAGTGGACAACAAAATTAACCGGGGTGGGGAGGGCGTCTACCAGAGGCCCCGGCATGTTCTTTCCTGGAATTAAAATGCACCGCAGGGCGTTTGTAGAATGTCACCTAATCAGTGCCTTGGACATGGCAAGTCTCCCAGGAGCACCGCGATGCAAGCGTTATCAACTATAATTCTTCGTTCATAGACTGTGGATTTCACACCAACAGTATCTGTAATGGCAGATACTGTTCTAGGGTATGGGATTAGAACAGTGCTTTTCAACTGGGGGCGATTTTGCCTCCGCGAGGAGGCATTTGGAAACATTCTGGCTGCCACACGCAAAGGGGCAGGCGCTGTTACCATCTAGTACACAGAGGCGGGGATGCTGCTAAACACCCTACAGTAAACAGGACGCCAGCCCCTGACAAGGACCGACCCAGCCCCTAGCATCAATAGTGCCAAGGTTGAGAAACCCTGGGTACAACGATGTGGAAGAACCTGCCCTGAAAAGTCTCGTGGTGCTTACTTTCTGAGGGGGGAGACAGACCACAAACTAAATTTGCTTTGTGTGCTCTGATAAAGAGTGAAGGGGTTAGTGGACGAGAGGGTGACTGGGTCAAAGTGATGGGGCAGTCAAAGGCGGCCTTTCTCGGGTTGTGATAAATGAGGAGAGAGCAGAATAAAGCCAGGGAGCAAGTCATGGGAAAAGAACATTCCAGGGGGAGGGTACAGTACGTGCAAAGGCCCTGGGGTAGAAACACATTGAGCACATTCAAGGAAGAGCAATGAGACCACAGTGGTTGAAGTGCTATTAGGCAGGGTAAGGAAGGGGGGGGTGGGGGTGGATCAAGAAGGGCCTTGTCGATGGTAAGAACTGTGGGATTTGCAATTTAGCTATTAGAAATTTTAATATTGTTAGCGTCACCGATAATTAATTGAACATTTACTGTATGTCGGGCTTTCTCCAGGACACTGGAGATCACCAGGGCATGGAGCAGGCTTCTCACTACCTTCTTGCAGCAACAAGGACACTGAGAGAAAGAGATCAAACAGTCACATGAAAGTAAACTGCCAGAAGAACAAATATGGACTTAGTGACTTCTCTGGGCTGTGTGGCCACTGGGCCGCGGGCTGGGCCCACAAATGATGGGGGGGGCCCTATTAGGTAGCCGAGAGAGAGGAAGAAATGCACTTAGATGTCTTAGATGGTGGAGCTAGTCACTGAGAAGAAGCCTGGTGTTTTTAGAATCAAGCAGTTTCAAATCTGGCTGGGGCCCTGATTGCCAACACATCACCATCATCATCATCACAATTAGTGTCATTATTATACAATAACTAACATGTGCCAGGCACGCTGTGATGCGCTGTTCCCAGGACATAGCTGCAAGGTGAGTGACATGACCTTCCCACTTTACCGACGAGCTCCCGAGCACACAGAAGAGAAAGGTGGTCCTATCCGGTTCTAATTGCAGAGTTAGGCCGCCCTAGATGGAGCCCATCACACCACAGCCCCCTACACCCTCTGAGCCACTTGCTTCATTTGAAAAAAAGAGGACCTGCCTCTCAGAGCTCATGTGAGCATTACATGAACAAAGGCACGACCCCCACTCAGCAACGCAATCAGTAACAGCACACAACACTCAGTCCTCAAGATAAACAGCATTTTAATGCAATATTAAAAAAAAAAAAACCATTAACGAAAACCCCCTCATGATGAACCAGCTATTAACATTTTGTGTATGTGTTTATTAAAGGGGGGTTAGTTATTTATTTAATTTTTTAAAAATAGTCCCTACATCCAACATGGGGCTTGAACTCACGACCCCAAGATTAAGTTACACGCTCTACCAACTTAGCCAGCCAGGTGCCCCGCTTTTATGTATTTTTAAATGTATTTTTTAAATTTCCTCACGGTATCCATCGCTTCTATTTTTTTCCCCAAAGATTTTATTGATTGATTGATTGATTTGAGAGAGAGAACACGAGCAGAGGGGAGAGGCAGAGGGAGAGGGGGAGGGAGAAGCAGGCTCCCAGCTCAGGGATGTGGGGCTCCATCCCAGGACCCCGGGATCATGACCTGAGCCAAAGGCAGGCACACTGACTCAGCCACCCAGGCGCCTCTTAAATTTATTTTTGAGACAATTTTTTTTCAGAAATAGATTTTGAAAATATTATTGATGAATTTGCTTCCATTAAATCCAGGAAAGTAAAATTATAATAAAATATGGTTTTTTTCTTTTGTATAAATAAGCTATTTAGACATACGATAATGTTGTAAGTTTTAATATATTTACTTTTGAGTTTTACAATATTTTTTCAATGAGTTTAATGTTCTAGAGGAAAAAAATCAACCATTAAAATTTTACATAAAAACACATATATAGGGATGCCTGGGTGGCTCAGTCAGTTAAGCATCTGCCTTTGGCTCAAGTTATGATCCCAGGTCCTGGGATCGAGTCCCTCATTGGGCTCCCTGCTCAGCAGGAGCCTGCTTCTCCCTCTACGTGCTACTCCCCCAGCTTGTGCTCTCTCTCTGGCAAATAAATAAATAAAATCTTAAAAAATATATAAATCTTGGGGCGCCTGGGTGGCTCAGTCGTTAAAGCGTCTGCCTTCGGCTCAGGTCATGATTCCAGGGTCCTGGGATCGAGCCCCACATCGGGCTCCCTGCTCAGCGGGAAGCCTGCTTCTCCCTCTCCCACTCCCCCTGCTTGTGTTCCCTCTCTCGCTGTGTCTCTCTCTGTCAAATAAATAAATAAAATCTTAAAAAAATATATATATATAGATATAAATCTTAAAAAAAAACCACACACAGGGGCGCCTGGGTGGCTCAGTTCGTTGGGCGACTGCCTTCAGCTCGGGTCATGATCCTGGAGTCCCGGAATCGAGTCCCGCATCGGGCTCCCTGCTCGGCGGGGAGGCTGCTTCTCCCTCTGACCCTCCTCCCTCTCATGCTCTCTGTCTCTCATTCTCTCGGTCTCAAATAAATAAATAAAATCTTTAAAAAAAAAAAAAAAACCACACACATATATAGGACCTCACATTTTTTCCTTAGCCCCACACTTCAATATGGCTCAACACACACTGGACTTTATTTAAATTTTTGACATTCCATCCTTCCATCATGGCTTTTTATTTTTGGCATTCATTTTGATTTTTAGCTTACAATGCCAGTTTAACGTTCATGGAGAGATGTCACAGAGGCAAGAATTCAAACCGAAAATCAGGGCTGGAGATGGTTGTTGTGAACGTGGTTCTGGATAAGGGCAGCTCAGAAGGAGCAGAAAGGATGTGGAAGCTGGCCGCCAAGGGCCCTAGTGATTCAGAGTCCTGGTCCTCGAGCCTCTGTGCGGTCCCCTCCCACAGAGGAGACAGCTAGCTGACCTGTGTGACCAGCAGGATATTACAGAACTGTCCATGTGTGGTTTCCAAGGCGGGGTTATGAAAGGCATGGCTGCTTCCTGCATGCTCTCCCCTGTCTCACTTGCTCTGGGGGAAACCACGTCGTGTGGGCACTCAGGTGCTCCCCTAGAGAGCTACTCTAGGCCAGGAACTGAGGCTTCCTGCCACCAGGCAGCATAACTTGCCAGGACTGTGAGGAAGCACCTTGAACATGCACCATCCGGCCCCAGTCAAGCCTTCGTGTGACTGCAGCCCTGGTCAGCATCTTACTAGCAACCTCAGGAGAGACTCTGAGCCAGAACCGCTCAGCTGAGCTGCTCCTGCTTCCCAGGATCATAGGCATTGTTGCTTTCGGTCCTAAATGTTGGGGTAACTTGTTAGCAACCGTAGGTGACCAGTGCTGATGAGAAAGGTGGACCTGGACCGAGTCCTGGAGCCTTGGCTACTTAGGGGAGCGCCTGGGGAAGGAAGACAAAGACCATAGGGAGGTTAGCGTCCCTGTGAGTCGGTCAAGCTCTGTGAGCTGAGGGACCCAGACGGACGTAGCCATCAGATTTAGGATGGGCAAGAGCAGCTTCTTGGAGTAGAGTGCTGGGCACCTGGCTGGTGATTGGTGGAGAGGGAGCGGGGAAGAAGGGGTGCAGAGGTGCCCACCATGAGTGTAGATGTTTCCACAGGGAGCGTGCACGCTCAGCACACATGCACGCATGCCGCCCCAGGCCACAGGCACA